TGTAAATCCACCATTCACAAATAACATAAAAGTGTTTTTTTCCACTTAATTACTTGTTTCCCTCATCTAAACAAACAAAGCTTTTTGCAACAACACAACTATGTCTTCATAACATGCTCTCCTGGCTACATGCAGTTCCAGAAACATTATAAATGTTTAATTTAATGTTTAAGTCAAACCTTAACTATAGTGTTTCATTAATGATCGATGGCGCATTTGTATGCAGTGTGTTATTGACTGGTTCATCGCTGGAATTAAGTGCTCTTTTACATACATGCCTTAGAAAACAGCTTCCAAATTTAGCACTGAATATTTTAAAGTGTTTTCAGAGACTGCAAAATTAAGCGATCGGAGGAATGTTGAATGTTTCCTTGCTAACCACCCCTCAAACACTTCACACGGACAACTGTATAAAATAAGAGTTCAAAAAGAAGAGAAGAAAGAATCGGTAACACTTTAGTTTAGGGACCAATTCTCACTATTAACTGATTATTGTAATGCATATTATTAAAATATTGGCTGTTTTTAGTACATATTTTGCATGACCATATTGTACATCCCTAATCCTACCCAATACCTAAACTTAACAACTACTTAACTAACTAATAATAAACAGCAAATTAGGAGTTTACTGAGGCAAAAGTTGCAGTTAATGGTGTTAATATTGAGAATTGGACCTTAAAGCATGAATCTTTGGCCTAAAACTAGTCGGATGAAAGTAAACAGAAAGAAGCCATAGAAGAAAAGAGATGAATGAAGAAATTGTAGGTAGAGCAGGAATAACTGTAAATAAATACTGTAAAAAAACACTACCCTTCAAAAGTTTGGGGTCATTATGCCCTCTTATGCCCACCAAAGCTACATTTATTTGATCAAAAACAGTAATATTGTGAAATTGCCACGTTACGCTGTTCAGTGAACACGCTGGAGTCACGAAGGAACGTTGAGCAGTCTTTAATAAAGGACACGCTGGGAATCATCGCAACAGGAGCTTGCGCAACACACGTAGTACACAAATACAAACTGAACAGACTGGGGCTTATAAGGACTGGATAACGAGGGGCAGACAGGTGCAGGGAATCAACTAATAATCAAACTAAACAAGGACAGGAACAAGACCAAATAAGGAAGCACAGGACCAGAAACGGGCAAAACATGACACAGAACAGTGCAGAATCCTGACAGAAATATCATTACCATATGTTTTCTTATTTATATATTTTACAACGTAATTTATATCTGTGATGCAAAGCTGAATTTTCAGCATCATTACTCCAGTCTTTAGTGTCACATGATCCTTCAGAAATTATTCTAATATGCTGATTTGCTGCTCAAGTAGCTGTTATTATGTTGAAAACAGTTGTGCTACTTAATATTTGGTGAAAAAATATATTGTGGAAAGATCTATATGCAGGTTTGATCATACAGTTTTGGAACAACATGATCAATGGTGAGTAAATTATGACAAAAAATTTAATTATGACATCTATTAGTTAAAATTCTATCTTTTTATCTTTATTGTCGTAACTGTGTTTAAAATAAATTAAATCATATATCATTTTGAATGTAGGCTTTTTTTCACTAGTGTTATATTTCATTTTATTTGATGTATGATATGATATGTATGTCAAATTATATGCATGTCTGCACTGGAAGCTCATGTCACCAAGACAAATTCCTTGTGTGTGCAAACACACTTGGCAATAAAATCCTTTATGAGTCTGATTCAGATTTTTGGGCCTAATATCATATTATAAAAAGCCTGCAATTACCTATACGGTACAGTATACAGTACACAATTATAACAGCCTCCTCTAAACAAGAGGAAAGGTGAGTCCAACGTCTGTTCTGTTGAAATTGACACGTGATGAATACACTGAGGGAACCCAGCATACGTGTGCCACAACTGTTCATATTAAAGTCTGGATGAGAGGTAGATTTTAATTTGTTACTGTTGCATTTCAAGATTGTCTCTGAGGTTTAAAGTTTATTACATTAAAAGACGTATTAGAGTGCCTACAATTACTGAGTCTAGGTGAGTGAATGTAACACCGCACTTGTGAGTAATGCTATCCAGTTTGATTAGGTAATAGATTTAATTGGCACAGGTAATGATTGCTGATAGGTCAACAATGTTTGTGGCAAAATTGTAAGCTTTAGTCTAAATGCTCCCTAGATCAATGAGCAAAAACCCAAAAGTGTTACAATTATCCTCCTTTGCCATGTTTGCATATGCTTAGAGTTAATCAAGGAAGGGGACAGACAGACAGAAAGAAAGGCTGAAAACTAGACGCAGAAGAGAGAGAGAGAGCGAGAGAGAGAGAGAGAGAGGCCGGGCTCCCACTGTTGTTCCATTCGGCTTCCTAATCCTGCCCTGCCTCGAGCATTCAATTAACTCCTCACCAGCAGATCAAATGACTGGCTAAAAGAGAGTGTGACCGAGCCTAAACGCTAATTAATACTTAGGAATCAATGCCCCTCAATACTAAATGTCAAATAACAGTGCAAGAGAGAACACAGCAGTTCAGATGAAAAGCTCACTTTTGTATTACGATGGATATTTATGTTTCTAAGATGAAAATAACAGCCTGGCCGGTACAGACACGTGGGTGTGGGCTGAATGTCAGAGGAGACATAATGGGGAAAGAAAAGTGAAAGGTGCTTCAGCGAGGAGCTACAGCAGACCCACATTACCAATAATGCACTCTCTTTTTCTCTTTTGTTATCCATTTGTCACTCTCGCTCGTTCTTTCTGCAGGAGGTGTTACAGGTACAGTATGGCTATAATAGAATGCTGCTCAATCTAGGACTCGCTTTACACCTGGTATTAGGTCCAAATCAGCTGATCCAATCACAAATGATCAGATGAGACGGATCATCAGATGCCCCTTGGTAGTAACACACCTTTAGTATAGGGACCAATTCTCTCTATTAAACAGTTGCTTGTTAGCATGCCTATTATTAACATATTGACTGTTTATTAGTACATATAAAGCAAGCACATATTCTGCATGACCATATTCTACATCTCTAATCCTACCCAATACCTAAACTTAACAACTACCTTGCTTTAATAAGCAGCAAATTAGGAGTTTATTGAGGCAAAAGTCATAGTTAACGGTTTGTTAATAGTGAGAATTGGACCTTCAAGAAACCTACCTGCAAAGCTACAGTACTGTTAAAAGTTTTAGGCACTTGTGTAAAAATGCTGCAAAATGAGGATGCTGTCAAAAATAATGTCATAGATAGATTTTCTTTATCAGTTAACTTCTATTAACTAAATTTAATCAACATTTGGTGTGACCATCCTTTGTGTTTAAAGCAGTTTTTGCTCTCGGTGCACTTGTGCATAGTTTTTCAGGGAGCTTTGCAGGTAGTCTTGGAGACGTTTCCATAGTTCTTCTGGATTGAGTCTGTCTCAGTTTGTTCTGTTTCTTCATGTCATTCCAGACAGACTGGATGATGATCAGATCAGATCTCTGTGTGGAGCACTGGCTGTTGTCAGACAAAAACCTCACTGGATTATTACAATTAATGGCAAAATGAATGTTTGGAAATGTAAACTGATATTTCCTACTGACACACTACAGAAAAAGATAGAAATAAATTACTTAAAACCATTTTTTAGCTGGTGAAAATACTAGTGTTCTAATAATTTGGGCCACCAATGTACTCCCAAAGGATGAGGATGTGAAGAGTCAGTGGTTAAAATTTATTATACAGTGACGCTGCAGTACAACTCCAACCTTTCATTGTGTTCCCATCATTTACTGGCGACTGCTTGCCGAGTTTAAAATACCCAGATGTACGCATTTTCATTTGGACCACCTTGTGCCTCTGGATCGCAATCTGTAAGTATGGTTAATTATTTATGCATATATTTTCTACCAAGTGTTCAAAATGCAGTTTTGTGCTGTATATGGTGTACACCCAGTGCACCTCCAAAGCAAAATTAGAACCTTTAAAACAGCATAATAGGGATTTTTTTTTAAACCAATAATGGCCAGTATCATCAATATTGATAACATGATTACGATCATTTTATTAAATAGATTTTTTTAATTAACCTATATATTAATATATTTTGAAACATGATGTTTTAGCATAATAGTTCACTGAAAACTGAGTAAACCAAAAACCAAAACTTAAATGGGTAAAAACATAAATCTCCAAAACAAGCTTATATTTCAGTAATATACACCACCATTCAAAACTTTGGGGGGCTGGTAAGATTTTTTTTTAATGTTTATGAAAGAAGTCTCTTATGCTCACCAAAGCTGCATTTTTGTTTAAAAATGCAGTAAAAACAATAATGTCAAAATTGCAACAAATTATAATGAATGTTTTCTATTTAAATATACCTTAAAATGTAATTTGTTCCTGTGGTGGTAAAGCTGAATTTTCTGCATCTTCAATGTCAAACAATCCTTCAGAAATCAATCTAATATGCTGATTTGCTGCTCAAAAAAACATTTCTTAATATTAATGCTGAAAATGCTTGGAAACCATGATGTGGTTTTTAGGATTCTTTGATGAATAGAGACTGCATTTATTTAAAACAGAAATCTTTTGTAACAATATAAATGTCTATACTGATACTTTACTGAATAAAAAATAAATAAAACTCACTGACCCCAAACTTTTGAACAGTACTGTATGTCAGATCACCAAAAAAATCCCGGATAAATCATGAAAATGATAACATTATCCCATTATCTCAAAGTACGCAAGTGGTAATGTAAAGATCTGTCTCCTACAGTACCTACAGCACCTAACAGCAGCCAACCATGGTGTGTATGTATGTATGCGTGTACAGTATGTTTGTGCACCTGTCAAGGGCTCTTTACCCTTTTCAAAACACTACTAAAAATTAGTTCGGAAACCCTCCTGAGCAGGTGTTGCAAGTGCGTGTATGCTGGCAAGGCTGCCTGTTTACGTGTATGATTGCAGACCCCAGATGTCAGTGTTTGAACCCTGGCACCCCGCTAAGCCTGACTCACCTCAGCACCTCGTTGGGGTTTCCTGACTTGCTGCCTTTCTTGTCAGGTGCGCCGTGGCATCCAGACTTAAGCAGCGTGTGAGGACCCCGATCCAGCATCATTGTGGAGGTTGCCATGGCGATTATGGCTACAGCATCACGTACTCGAGCCTCCAGTCCATAGTCCCACTCATCGTAGGAAACAGAGATCAAACCTGAGATACAGGAAGTGTAAATTCAGTAAATACAATCATCTGAAATATAAAATATGTGTAGTTTTTGTAGCTAAATATGTCACATGTATGTTCCTGTTTGCCCTTATTTGGTTCTTCCTGTGTCCTGTCCTCATTTTTTATTATTTGAGTCCAGGTGTTCCCCGTTTCATATTGTTCCCAGGTGTGTCCCATTAGTTTCTGAGCATTTAAACCCTGTGTTTCCCAGTGTTTTCTGTCTGCTGTTGAACGTCATTCTGTCTGCTAAATGTCATCCCTGAAGTTCCCGTGTTTTGTATTCCTTTGTTTATTTTGTATTAAATTCTAGTTTACGTATTCTCCAGTGCCTCCTTCGTTCCTTCCTCCCCGAGAGACCATGACAGAACAGCAGACCATAACTGAAAGTAAGCTGCGCCTTTTTCCCCCGTTTTTTCCCCCGTTTTTACAAGTGTTTTGTTTTCCCGTTCGTTTCTCCCCGCTCATATGGAGGAACGAGCGAGGTTAATCGCTGTGGCTCAGGCGAACCCCGACCCGATCGTCTACCTGAGGGCGTTCGTGCCGCTCGCCCTCGC